ATGTAATTTTTTTTTTGTCTTACTGTTGTTTTTGATGACTTGGAACCAATAATGAATATAGGGAGCTATGGTGCTATAATTAATAGAGGAACCATGTGACAGTCCAATTGTGAGTTATGGAAAAAAAAAAGAATTTAAAACCATAAGTTCAATGCCTGGTCTCAATTAGTTGACACAGGAAGTTGTATTTTGAACAAAATTGCAGGCCATAAGATTCTTTATGAGCAACAATTGACAGTACAAGGAATAAAAATCCTGAAGACCCCCCAGTTCCTTTTCAGATTCCACAACTGCAAGAATGTTCGTATAGAGTCGATTCGTATTTTAGCTCCAGCATTGAGTCCAATACAGATGGGATTCATAGAGACCACAGTCAATGTGGGGATATACAATTCAGTAATATCCAATGGTAACTACTCACTAATTATCCCCAAAAGTACTTTTTTTTTTGCATTTATTTTTCTTGAAAAAAGAAAAAAAAATGTCACCATTCAATTCTGCTCGAAGTGATGATTGTCTCGATGGGATCTGGCCGCTATGATGTAGATATTAGGAATATAACATGTGGTCCGAGCCATGGGATCAGGTATGCAATTCTCATCCAAGATTGAGCTTCATAATGCGCTGCTTCATACAATTGCCATTCTCTACAACAGTTTGGTGAAGTGTTTGCACTAATTATTCTTGCATAGGCTATTAGGAACTGAGATGCTAAATATAGCTGGGAATCAGACAACAATATTTGCTAATAGTCCCCTGTCCACCTAAGATAGGCCTCATACAGTAAACATAATGAATGAAAAAAAAAAAAAAAAAAAAAAAAAATAGTTACAGTTAGGTATGCAAAGTTTTTCCATTAAATCACCTCAATTTTTAAAATTCCTACTACCAACCTTTAGTATTTCAAGCAGTGTAAAGTGGTTCATTGGTCTTTGTAAATAATTAGTATCGTAAAAAAAATATATAGATATTTGGAAATTATCGCACTTAGGTTGATGTTGTTGACTACCTAATGGATACAGTTCATGGTGTTGGAAAAAGTTATGCAAGGTCACCGAAAACAACATCGTTGAAGGGTCAGTATGTTAGTTTACGCTCATACCACATGAAGGAATTGTTTTCAAGGTTAAAATTTAGTACAAGGTTATGTTGCTATGTTGGGTAGATTGTTAGGTTAATGGTAAACTTTTGCTTTTTAATGCAACTTCTAGGATTTTATGGTAAACCATAAACTTTCTTTTGACGTTTTGATATCTTATCATGTTGTGGGACTCTTGTGCGATGGATTCGTATGAAGTAATTTCAAGCTATTTTTAGAAATGCTAGCAAATATATGCATGTATATTCGAGTTTGGCAAATATATGTATACACATTTTTTCAGCAATGTTTTTTAGGTGAGAAAAAAAAAAACACTATTTCATAATTATAGACTAAACTAGGACTAGTTGTGCGTGCACAACAAGGAGGCCAGATACCAAAAAGGGGCGTAGCTATACAGTAATGATGAGGCTAAACGAAAACCGCAAGTGCTTTGACGAGGGTTGTAGTTAATTTGTGCAGGCAGAAGAGATAAAATTTGGATGCTTCTTGGTGTTCGAGTGCATAGGGCTATTCCATTTCAAAGTGCTCATTTATGAGACAACAGGTTTAGCCAGACCTGCAGAACACCGCTTTCAGGTTGTGATAAAGAAGACACATATTGAACGAGCTTTGCTGGCAAGGATTTTATATTCAATAGCATGTCAGTAAATTATAAATTGTGTGAACTTAAGGACATTAATCTGCTATTACTTCTTTCAATTTTGTGTCAATTCCAATGCCGTTTTGGAGGGAAAAACTACAGCCATTCTACAGCCAAGCAAGCACAGTCATACTAATATGCCATGGATATAGTCCATGGTGTCAGAAAGAGTAATGCGGGGTCCTAGATTGTGAGTTTACGCTAATAGCACATAATGGAAAGAATTGCTTTTAAGGTTGAACTTTAATACACCTTTGTGGTACTGTTTGTCTGGGGTAGATTGTTAAGTGGATATTAATAATTTGGCTTTTAACGCACCAATATT